TTTTTTCTATCGGTCATTTTTTTTGTGTGTTATTTTTCTGTTATTTAATGTTTCTTATATAGTCATGCATTTCACACAAATTCACAAGCCTCCTACCCGGACTTTACCTTTAAGACTAGACCGGAGACTGAGTAGTGTGACCTTCGTGGAATCTCGATTCCCGTATAGGCACATGAAAATCTCCACTCAAATTAACCATATTGCGAGAGCATATGAAAATTTGGGGGCCTATTCTCCTCTAGGTTTGCCCGTTAAGCATTGCCTTCACAATCATCTTGCACAAATGTCATCTGTGTGTTTTATGTCTTACTTTGCTATATCTTTGGGGTCGAGTTTTATCCAGGTCATGTTTTAAAAACAAAAAAAGCTAAAAAAAAACCTAATTTATGTTTTAATAAGTATTTCCTTTTTTATCATTTTCCATTTTTACTTAATAACTATTTATATTAAAATAAAAAAAACAAAAGATTTCCAGTGTTTTTGGTTTTCTCCGTTTCTTTTAAGATTTTTTTTTTTTGCAATTGTGCCAAAATTGACTCAAAGTCTTAAATCATTAATATTGGCAGTAAAATTAAAGCATGAGTTCCGGTAAAACTACAACCCAGGATTGGAAGGAGCAAGACCAGGAGACTGTCCGTCAGTGGTCAGAGAACACACAACACATTTATGGTGACGCCTTGTCGGGAAACATCGCCACACCATTTCATCACTTAACATTCCCAAACGACCAATTAGAAGTCCTGAAGCAGTTGTGGGAAGGCTTAAGACCAGACAGAAAAGCCCAGTTCACGAGAAAGTATGGCCATATAGCACAACTCTTGTACGTGCAAGTCAATTTCTCAGCGTTAAGAGCCCTAGTMGAGCATTGGGATCCAGCTTATCRGTGCTTCACCTTTAATGCAGTCGACTTGACTCCCACTATCGAGGAATACCACGTTCTTTTGCAAATACCACTGCAGGAGAAGATTRAGGTTTACTCCTACGACGATGGGCTTACATTAAGGCGAGCCCTATCTYTTCTTTTAGGTAAACTACCTGCTAATGAGATTGAGAAGCATGTGAAAAAGAAGGGAGAAAATACATGTCTGCCGATAGAATATGTCCTGTATCTCCGGCAAAGAGTAAGTAACGAAGAAAAGGAGCTAACACTATTGGCTCTATGTTTATTTAACTTGGTCTTGTTTCCTAAGGTTAGTGGATATATCAAAGAGCGGGTGGTCAAGCTATTCGTCAGAATCGAGGCGGGAGTCAATCCCGTAATACCTATCCTTGCAGAAACCTTCCGAGCGCTAAACTTCTGCAGATCAAAAGGAGCAGGGAGATTCCTAGGATGTGTTCAGCTGTTGTATATCTGGATCCTTAGTCATATGAAGTGCCCACTGCAGTTCCACTATCCTCCGGTTAAATATTCAAAATCATGGAATAAGATTCAGAATCCCATCTTTGAATTCAACCAGGCAGGGTGGAGCCCGAGTTACCCAGGAAAAGATGAGTGGAGAGCTTTCTTTGCAGAAATAAGACAAGAAGACGTGGATTGGAAAACTCCATGGATGTCAATCAAACCTATGATGTATAGGTGTGGTAAGTTTCAAAGTTTACCGCTTTTGGGCCTATGGGGATGTACATCTTATGCTCCATTGATGGTGCTGCGCCAGATATGGATACGTCAGTTTATCCCAGTCACACACGACTTGAAGGACTGTGAGTTTGCTTATGATGCCGGGTTTTGCAAAAGTAAAATCAAAGAAATTGTGAAGGCCTGGAGGACGGTCGTCAAAATCCAAAGTGGGCGATACCATGATGATGCATTCGAGACATACATGCATTGGCATGCGAGTAGGGGAAAAATTGTGCTTCTGCTATCAACAGACAAAGGCAAAGCAGACATTCCAGTCAGGAGGGCTCTTACGGAAATAAACCCAAATCATTCCCCTCAACAGAAGTCACGTAGAATGGAATATGAGCTACGAGAAAGATGCTCGACTTCAGCCAGGAAAGGACCACAGTTGGGCTTACCCCATAACATTGAGCCGATATTGCAAGAAACAAGGAAGGTCATGGATCAAGGGAAAGAGAACCGACCGCTAGGTACCGAAGTTCAAGAGTTCAGCAGAGTCTATCGAGTGAGATGGGAAGAAGAGTTAGCCTTGAGAACACAACGAGAAGTTGAAATTATTTCCCTTCGAACAGAAATTTCATCCCTGCGTGAAAAAGTCGTAGTAATGGAAGAAAAGGAAGGACAGTTGGTCCAGTATGCTCAGGAAAACGAGAGGTTAAGGGAAGCTGTTGAAGTTGTTAAGAGTCGTCTCAATCAGACCCAAAGTGCAGCTGAAAAGGTAATGCAGGGTTACACTTGCATCAAAGAGCAGTACAACCAAGCGGAATGTGAATTGGATCAGGTGAAGCGAGATAATATGAGACTACATCACAACTCGGAAGGTGTGCTCACTCAAGTTAGACAAGCCGCTCRAAGGGYGGACGTTTTAGCTGATGAAGCACGAGCTCTCACATCTGCCATTGCCCCTACGCAGCCGAATGGCAGAAGCACACTTAAATTTCTAGGCAAGCTCAGACGAGATCTGGAACATTG